TTAGTGTTCCATTGTAAATCGATCAGCTCTTCTTTTTTATCTATTATGACGGACTGGAGAAATATAATTGCTATGCCTTCATATCTTGTCTGTTTACATCACACACAGGATCCAAGAATGTGAACATCTTGCTTCAGCTATGCAGGGACCTGATAGCCCTTAAAAATGACCCCCAATACCCCACACTCCCACAGCACCTCCCACAAAATACCTCAGGGGAGACTTCTCCAGATCCACAAAACACATGTGGACAGAAAAATCTCTTATGACCCATTTAGCAACTGCTCAAATCAACACAGAAAAAAACCCTTTGACATCAGTCTTCAAAGTTACAGATGACTTCCTGCTATTTGTCAACCTGTTACCTCGAATACAAATCCTACTTTTACAAACACGCAGTCAAACAAACATCAAGTCTATTAGTTTATGTGTTTTTTTACAAAGAGGTAAAGACTAAATATGAATTAATTGTAAATGTTTTACTTATGGTTAAAGTTTGATGGTTAAAAACTTGGTATTTAACTTTCACAGTTATATCTACATAGTTTTGGTGTCTGAGAAAAGAGCAACAATGAGAGACGAATAAAGGAGTCTAGACTGGGGCATGCTCGTGCAGCTAGGGATTAAAAAACAAGTCACGTAGTGGCAGAAGTCAGCATTATTTTTTTTAATTTCTGTATGTATGACTCATGGTGGAATGAGTGATGTGCTGTTTTGTGTCTGGGTTTTGTAAAATGTTACTCTGCCAAGCATTGTGAGTCACTCTTTTCAACTTTTATTGCTCATTAGTTTTAAGAAAATTTGTGCTTTTTTTGTGTCTGTAAACGTCTGCATGTCTGGCTGGGTTTGACCAGTAGCTTTTGGGTTATGATATTTTTATTAGGCTTTGTAAGGAGCTGGGTGTGGAAGCCTCCATGGTCAAATACAAAAAAAATAATAGTAATTTAAAAAAAACAATAAACAAGTCTGTTTTCAGTTTGCTTTTTATGGGGATGCAAACATATCATTTAACACGAACCCAAAACATTTCCTCCTCGGACTTCTCTAAAAGGATGTCCACCAGGAGCGGTGACTACCGCATGAAGATGACTGTCAGTGACAGATTTTCACAAACATCAGTTTGACTGCTTTGAATGGAATTTAAGGAGATTTTTCTGGAGTTTTATGTGAAAACAACATTGGAAAGTTGGACTGATTCCATCCCAGTTCATTCCCCCCCTCCCTTGTTTTTTCAGTTTTTTTTTTTTTCAGAAATGTGTTTCTCGTTGTCTGTCCCAGCACTTAAACCCTTCAATGCGCCTGGTAGGCACATTTTTATGCTCTAAAACCACTCAAAGCAAGATTTAATTAGACTTTTTCCCCTCTCAACAATGCTTGTGTTTCCTAGAGTCGCACCAAACGTTTAAAGTCCAAAATGAGAAAAACACACAAGAGTAATTTCTATATGAGCCAGCACACTTTGAGAATGATTGGTCTATTTACAGTGGAAGGAAAGTGGTCCTATTTTATATAGGATCATTTACTGCTCCCTCAGGACACCTGGCCCTTTTCACTCGTAGGATAACTTAATTATACACATATATTATACTTTCTGGTCATCTGCACTTAGACAAAGTAATATATCGTGCAGTGTAAAGGTTGATTTAAGTTTAAAGTTCTAAAAAAACACACCACTGTTTTTGTGCAATCAAGTGGAACCGTTTAGAGCTGAAACTGGGCACAAAATTGAGTTTTCAGCTTCAACACCTTTAACAATATAAGAAAACTTTAAATGTTTGCACCAGATATTTACCTTAGTGAGGTAGGAGAAGCTGCTTTTACACCCATGTTAGTGCCAATGATGATAAAACTTTAAAGCAAGGTTCAATAAAAAGATTATAAACAGTTATTATCTTACCTGTTGCAGATTGCTCTTTGACCAATTTGTCAGTTTGGAGAAATAAAGTTTGCGTTCAACAAGACTGAAGAGATGTTTTTAGCTGGCAGGATCAGCAACAATTCATTGCTGTTCATGTAAATGCCCCTATATAAACATTTATGCTGCTTTAAATCTTTCATTACGCAGTTATTAAGATGGAATTCTGTTATTTATAAATGCCTTTAACATTTTTGTAATTTAAAAACAGAGGTAAAAAGTAAAAAATAAATTGCCTTAGCACGAATCACTATGAAATTTAGAAAGCTGGAGTTGTTTTAAACAAAATCTGTTTGGAAAAGAGTCCATTTGGACAGTTCTGACAGTATCTGCAGAGCCGGCTCTTGGCATAGGCGAACTAGGCGGTCGCCTAGAGCACCATCTGCTGGAGGGCACGCCAAACTGCAGAAGAAAAAAAAGTAATTATTTGTAATCGCTGGTTGTAACTCTGCTCAGCGCCCCTTTCAAATGGCTTTGTCTTAAAAAACTATAATGAAGTATTAGAGGAAAAACAAACTACTCTACCCATCAAAAATTTTCTACCCCCAACGCAGCAGTCGTGCCCACCCTCTCTCTTATTTGATTGACGTTACACTGACTCATCCTGCTCCAACACTCTGATGGGGGGAGGGGGGGGGAGCTAGTAGTACCTCTCAGGTTGCGGTTCGTGTTGACAAACTCAATTTTGTTGTCCCATACATGTCAACCTCTTCGGATGTTTACCTGTATAAAAAGCCTGAAAAATCCGTAAATTTTGGAAAAAATTCATACAACTGGCACCCACGGGGGTGAGAGGGTGGGGCTGTCGGCCTCGCTGAGGACGTGTAAGTGCCCGATGCGAAGCAGGAGGAGAGGAGAGTGGATAAAGTTCAAAACTTATTTCTAGCGGCAGAACAGGTTGGAAGATGGCTGTTTAATGTTATTTTTTGTTTTTTAAATCATCCTACAGGCTCTGACATGTTAGATATATTTGAAAATAAGGTTTTGGAAAAATCCGTAAGACTTGAAAAAAATCTGTGAAATTGCCCTGTACATCCGTATACCTACAGAATGACGTAAAATCCTTATAACTTACGGACAATCCGTACAAGTTGACATGTATGTTGCTATTTATTTGCTTTCTGGGAAAGCAAATAAATCTGTTTACCAGTGTACCTTACACTGTCAAACTTGATTTTAGGGGTTCAAACTGGGGTGGGTGGGACATAGTTGGGGGGTGGGGTTGTGCTTCAACTTGCCTAGGGCACCAAAATGGCTAGAGCCAGCACTGGGTATCTGTTTCTGTCCTTCATCTGGGAACGATTGTTGTGAGTTTGCATTTGTTTGTTTTACTGTTGCAGCATTGTGTGCACAAAGAAATGGCACTTTAGGAACCTCAGTTTTATTTTTTTGGTAAAAAAGTTCCAAAGTGAAAACATTTGACCCCTTGTGTTTTTGTGCAGGCAGCCTAAACACAGCCTTTAAACCTCGTCTCCACAGGCATGGCTTTACGTGCTTCTCATTAATTCAGCCTCAGCCCCATGTCTCCATTTCTACTTTCTGCATGGGTTTTGGATCCACCTAAGCCAAAATTCCAGGGTAGGGGGGTAGGTAGGGGGGGTCAAACTGAGTACTGTGCACAAGTGATTTTCAATCCGAGTACATTGCAGATGAGGTGGCAAACCCCTGGTCTAATCGGTGCAAACATGTTTGTGAATGAGCAAGCAGTTGTGTCGGGAGGTTTCAGACAAATTGGCCGCCCACAGTTAAATGCACCCTCATAAACACTGCAGCGACTAATTAAAAAGAAGAAAGTCTGACTACTGGACAATAAAAGACCACAACAGGCAAAGCCCCCCCCCCCCACCCCCGCTGACAATCCTGCCAAAAATCACACTCACTAAGTGAGGGACACACTGCCATGGAGACACACACACCTGAGTAGAACCGAACAGATGTGAAGCGATCAGAGCTGGACTTGATGAAGCAGAAGCAGCTCTAGAAAACAATGATGTCACAGCCCTACTAACTAACTAACTAACTAACCTATGATCTGAGGTTATTTTCTTCTTGTTGTTGTATTTACATTTTTCAACCAGAATGCAAAGCTTCATGTGCATGCGCCACACCTTGTTTGTTGTTTTTGCTGTATTTTCACGGCACTATTCCAGGCCTGGTATAGTTACTACGGTACATCAGTCTATATCCTTTTCCGTGTTTCCGTGCTAACGCAAACCTTTCTAGAAATACTGCTGCGTTTAAAAGATGATTATTTTTTAAAGAAGTTTTTGTTAAACTAAGCTTGTCTAAAAAAAACCCTTTATAATGGTTCGTTTAAACACTAATGTTAAAACTTTGGAAAGGTTTGCATCAACCACTTAGAAGTATTTTGAAATTGAAATTATTAAAGCATAGTTGTGAATTACACTGCCTGGCCCAAAAAAAAGTGTCCACCTGGATTTAACTAAGCAAACAGATATGAATCTCCTATTGGATGATTACTGCATGGCTGATTATCTTTCAGGTGACTACAAGTTATTGAACCCCAAATGGTGCAACAATGATGAAAGGCACATCCTGTGGTCATGGAGAAGATGTCAGTCTGTTTGAGAAGGGTCAAATCATTGGCATCAAGCAGAGAAAACATCCAACTGTCCAACACATTATTAAAAACTGGAAGGATAGTGGACCCATCATCTTCGAGGGTGCATCCATCATAGCGTCTACTGTACCAGCTTGTGGAGGCAGGGCTATAGTCTGGAGTTGCTGCAGTTGGTTAGGTCTAAGAAGCTTATCCAAACAGTGCCATAGTGAATGTGTGCCATAATCAAAGCTAAAGGTGGTCCAACGAAAAATTACAGTGTGTGACCTTTTGTTTTTGTCTTTTTGGTAGAAACCTTTTTTTTGGCCAGGCGTTGTATACTTTTTTGTGGCTTGGTAAGACTAGTCATTTTCTCCTATTTCTCCAAATCAGCATTGTTCAAAGGGTTGTCTACAACAAGTAAAGTATTAATCGTTCACATTTCTGTAGAACCACACTCAAGATGGTAAAAATATTTTAGTGTTACCAGCTCTGTGTGTACAATACAATGAGAGAAGAGGCTCATTCTGTATCTGAAAACCTTTATCAGCTGCAGTCTCTTGAAGTCTTTTACCTCCAACAATCACAACCACAAACAATCTTTTTTTTGTTAAACAAAAGATAAATGTGCCCTAAATCCCTTTACACGTGTCTGCTACCGGAGGCTGTCGCTCTCTGAGTGTTGGTCGACCACCAGAGGTGATGTTCCATCTATGGTCGAGGAGTTACTGGTAGTGTGGAAAGAAAAGTTTAGCATGAGTCTTAGACCTGGTCTGGCCTTCTCTTGACCAGTCTAACAGCAGTCTCAGTCTATAGGTCTGATCATCATCCGCACAGACTTCATGGAGTAGAAACCTCCTCCATAGTCAGCCCAGAACATTCCGTCTTGGAATTTGCTGCGGTAGACTCCTCCGGTGTACCAGACACCGTTAAGGTTGGCTTGGCCACAAGCGTTGTACCACCAGCCTCCTTTATGGAAATGGGCACAGTTACCTGTTATGGATAAAGAACAAGGATGTTAACTTCAATTAACTCCTGACATAGAAGAATATTTCAAAAATAAATTTTGAAATTTTAATTGTATGACGAAATGCAAAGTTCTGCATTAATGCATTAATTTTCCATGTGCAGATTACAAAGTTTATTAAAATGTTGTCCTCACGGTAAAACTTGATTGATTCTCACTGAGTCAAAAGGAATCTGGAAAACTAGAAAACAATAATCCTGTCACCTTGTGGGCTCAACACACCGTTGAAAGAAAATCTGGTAAAAGTCACAAATCTGGTAAAGTGCTGACAACTTCTTTTCTAAAGGAAGTAAATGTGTTGCTTTAGGCTTTGTGGGAGACCAGAGACCAACCAGCTTGGACGTTACTTTCAGGGTCTGTCTGAAATCTACACGGCTGAAATAACAATGTAGCTCTGCTTCTCTTCTTTACAGAATAAATAACCCCAGGTTCCTGCCGTCTCGCTCTGTTAAACCCCAGCAACAAGTGACAAACTGATTGTTAAAAGAAATGAAAATATCAATAGTTCTCATGAGACGGAAGTTTTATAGAGTGACTCACTGCAGCGACAGTGTTCTTCAGTAAGGTTCCTGCAGGGATTTTCACCACACATTGAATTGGGGATTGGATTGTAAACAAAAAATATCTCACCTGTGTTTCATTTGGGGAAATATTAAACATGACTGGACTGACAAGCTAACAGCTAACGGCTAGTCCAAGCAAGAAGTGGATTGCTGTTGCATACATGTCAACCCCTTCGGATGTTTACCTGTATAACGAGCCTCAAAAATCCTTAATTTTTGCAAAAAAAATCTGTTTCAAACACATGCATGTGGGGTGGGGGGTGCAGGCGGTCTGTCAGCCGCGGAGATGACAGCACCTGCAGCGCAAAGCAGGAGGAAATGAGGACAAGAGAACTTATTTCTAGTGGCAGAGCGAGTTGGAAAATAGTTATTTGATGTTATTTATTGGTTTTTAACATCCTACAAGTTCTGACTTGTTAAATAAAATGGAAACTGAGTTTTTGAAAAATCCGTAAAACTTGGAAAAATCTGTGAGATTGCTCTATACATATGCATTCCTGCAAAATGAGGGGAAATCCGTGTAAATTACGGACAGTCTGTACAACTCGACATGTATGCTGTTGTTTTAAAACAGGTGTGCCCATTACGTCTATCGCGATCTACCAGTAGCTCGCGGAGGTGGTGTAGGTAGATCACCTGATTTGGCATAAAATCAAATGGAGTGAACAGATGGCAGACAAGATTCTTCTTAAAGGGCTGTAGTTTTGAAATGGACTTTATGTTTTGAGGAATGTCATTCCATGCTTTAGTATAAACATAGAAGAAAGACCTCTGGCCGTAAYAGTTTTTAAAAGTTGGTAGTATCAGTTGTCCTTTTGTAACAGATCTAGTTGAATGACCACTTCCAGAATTTGATTTGGGCAGCACCTTGTCAATCCCAGTAAAATTAAACTCAATTTTTGCTAATTTTCATCATTCAAACAGGTATTCCCAACAGGTAAGATATGAATTATTCATAACCTTTCTACAACTTTATTTAAAACTATTCCTTTAATACCTCGCATGTCTGCCTTTCCATATTATTTCTGGTCATATTGGTTAAAAGTTTCCCTTCATAAAATCATTGCTCTAACTTTTCCTTTCCAGAGTCAAGATGAAAAACAAAATGTGTGTTTCCATGCAGGAGGGACCCCAGCACTCCCTACCAGAGAAGGCGTCTTTGTCCCGGTCCAAGGTGGTGAACTGTTTGCCGTTGTGGCTGCTGAGTGAATCCCCAGCGTTGCCCTGGTAGGTGCCGAGCCGCAGGCGGTAGCCCTCGCTCTCCGGCTCCAAGTGAAAGCTGCTGTACTGAGCGTAGACCTTCTTGTCCATCCAGTCCTCCATCTCCACCAGGAGCTTGTAGTCCCCCTGCCTTCCTAATTTGTAGATGGCTTCCAGACCGAGCCAGTACTCCCCGTCTATGTTGCCAAAGCCACTCTGGATCAAAGGGAAATGAAAGGGAAGGCTTCAATGAGATTACAGAAAACAACGCGTGTTGTTTTCCATTTGATCCCCTGGAGAGTTTAGAAAAACCAGCATTATTTAGCAACACAAAACCTCCCTTTGAAGAGGCTGTGGGATTGTTGGTTGAAAAAAAAAAACAGAGAAATGTTGTTTTGATGATGTTAGGATTATGATTCTGTAATTCAGAAATACTTCAAAAGAAAATAATACAAACAGTGTGGGAAAAAAATCCTGCCACCATTTGTAGTAATACTGGGTTCTGTCTTCCCGTGCTTGTTTGTTTCTTTTCACTCAGCTGGTTCCACTCAGTCCATTAGCACACCTGTCTCTAATTTGTAATCAATCTCTCACTATAAATGGGCTGCTGAATTTTTCTTTTTTATTTGTGCTCTTTGACAGATCCTGTTTGTTCCAGTCATGTTCAGTCTTGTTATTAAAGGGATCCCCGATTAGTTGTAACATTAGACTTTATTTAATAAACATATATTTTTAACTGTAAAATAAAGACTGTAAAAATACTGTAGGCTGTTCAGTTTTTATAATTTCTAAACTAAAATTTATAAATAAATTACACGGACGGGGCCATTTTACTTACATGCAAAGCATTCTGGGTAAATGATGACATCAACTAGGTCATTGGTGCGAGGCTGCTAGCTAGCTATATCCACCCTGAAGGTTAATCTTGGACAATATCTGATGATCGACTCTTTTAAATGAAACCAGAGAGCGTTGACAGAGAGGAGAAGGTAGAAATGACTCAGCCTGGAACTGAAAATATAGATGGAGGACAACAGAGCTGCTTCATGGAAGAAGAACCTCAGCTTAGCCTGTTAGCTTTAGCGTTAGCCCTGACGCTATCACCATATATATGTTTTAGCTCAGCGCTACACATTCTCCTCTCGTCACTGAGGTCCTCCATCCACATGACAGAGAGGGGAACACAAAAATGACTCAGTCTGCAACTGAAAACATGGATGGAGGACCTCTGTTTAGCTTGTTTGTCGCGCTAGCGCCGAGCTAATACATATAAAGCAATATAGCGTGGACACTAGCACAAAGGCTAACAGGCTAAGCTGAGGTTCTTCTTCCATGAAGCAGCTCTGTTGTCCTCCATCCATATTTTCAGTTCCAGGCTGAGTCATTTCTACCTTCTCCTCTCTGTCAACGCTCTCTGGTTTCATTTAAAAGAGTCGATCATCAGATATTGTCCAAGATTAACCTTCAGGGTGGATATAGCTCACTAGCAGCCTCACACCGAGGACCTAGTTGATGTCATCATTTACCCAGAATGCTTTGCGTGTAAATAAAATGGCTCCATCTGTGTTAAAATATATTTTAAAAAATTTACAAAACTAAACAGCCTACAATATTTTTACAGTCTTTTACAGTTAAAATAAATGTTTATCAAATAAAGTTTAATGTTACAACTAATCGTGGATCCCTTTAAAGCTGTGCTCCCAAATCTGCCTGTTGCTCTTCTAAGTTCAACAACACATAATTTCACAACACTTTGACCATTAAACTCTTAAGATGTTAAAGTTAAGGCCAGAAATTCCTCTTCAGGATGTTGTTAGTGACACACCTCAGAGCGTTTGAATCTGGCCCGGGCGCTCGTGTTCAATACCCATGAGCTAAAGCCTCACAAACACTTCACTCGGTGGAGAACTTTGAGGTCTCTGAATGTGGATGAGTGAGCCAGCAGATGATGAATGATGTCAGAATTCAATATATGTGCTCCTCTGTGGTGCTGGGTGTATATGATGGCAGAGCTCAGAGACAAATCACCACAGAAGAGCGGAATTTAGCTCCCGATTTTACATGTATTAGTCTGGCTGGACAGACAGGGAGACTGAATCGATGCCAAAAGCAGTATGCTCCTCATTCACATGGATTTGATGAGGCAGCTCTATATAGTGCAGTGGAGGAAACCAATCTATCATTCATCTTGGAAGGTTCCATAGCAGAAGTGGTTTCAGAAAGAAATCCGTGCTTATTAAGCTGTGGAACAAAGTTTCTTAACGGGGCATCTAATATTTCATAATGGGAATCGAAAACCATCACATTTTAGAGAATTTAGAATTGAAGTCTCGTGGAAATGCTCTCAAAGACTCCAGCTGGTTCCTCCTTAGAGGTTGTATAACAGCACCACTGTTGTTTCTGGATAAGCCAAGTGTTCAAAAAGCTGTAGGAAGAAAGAAGAGATTATAAAGAAATACACTCGGGGCACAGGAAGCGCTGTTGTCTTCACCTTGTAATTATCCCAGTTTCTGAAGAAGTTAACGGATCCGTCTCTCCTGCTCTGGATGACGGTCCAGCCTCCGTTGTCTATGTCCTGCTCGCACCAGGCCTGCACCGGCCTCTCTGCCTCGTCAGGTTTAATCAGGTACATGCCGCTGGCGCTGAGGCCGGCCTCCTGAGCCTCCAGACAGTCTCTGAACGGGCCTGAGAGAAATCAGAAGGCAGTGAAAAACTGTGTCCAGCTGGAAAGTGGACCGTATAAACAACAGCTGAACATCTGGACTGCATCATTAGACTTGTGTAGAAACCATATAAATCATGACAAAGTGTATCAAAAAAAATAAAGACAATAAAAAAATAAGCTTGAAAGCTAAAGGAAGTTTAAACTAGGCTAATAAGCTTTAAATAGGACTATTAGAAGTTGATTAAATGAAAGGATGCAAATAATTGCTTCTTTTTTATTACGATTATTTCATCTCTGTCATAATATTTGCCTCAGAATAACTCAAACAAATCTGCAGCTTGATCAGGAATATTGTGTTTGTGTTATGACCTTGGATAATAGTACATTGGATAAAATTCCTACAAAACTGTAAAGATTTTCCAAACTACGCAACAATAAGAATTGTTTGAAGCTGCGATGTCAAAGTAGAAACATCGAAGTTTAATTAAGTCGTGGAAAGTTTTAAAACTTTGGCATACAAGGCAGAAAGCAATGTGTATTTTTTAGGATCACTTGCTTCATTGAATATGAATTTGAGTGAACAGGAAACATTGAGCAGTGACTGTGCTTTTCTCAATCAGTAATATTAACTGCAAAGTAAAAAAAAAGCTCTTATGGTTTTTGGATTTGGTGTGCCATCCCAAGATTAATGCCCCCCGGCCCCATCTGAAAACTCTGCCTCTGGTTTTATGATTTATGAGGCTTTTAATGCTGAGTGTTCAACTTAATGTGATGATTTTAACTGTCTAAACTTTCCTAAAACTTTTCTCTTCCCTTCACTTTTCACCTCTTATACAGGCTTAAACATCAGAACAGAAACATTTTTGTCTTCTTTCACTTAGGGTGTCTCTCATCAGTGTGCATTCTCATCCAAGTCATCTCCACTTTGGCACGCTTCTCCTCCTGCATACTTTGTCCTAGAGCTGCCATTGTAATTTATATTTGTAAAGCTCCTGTGCCAAATGATGGCTATGACTTTGGTGCCTGTACAACTTCCAGTTTTTGAAATATTAATGTTTAATAATTTATAATTCAATTCAATTCAAAAATACTTTATTGATCCCAGAGGAAAAATTGGGAGTCAATGGAGCCTTGTATTGGTCCAATACTATTTAATCTCAATTGTGCAGTGATTACAATACTAATATGATTGTCTTTTGATGTTTTACTATAATATTGTCCTAATATTGCTTTATTGTTGTAATATATTTCAAATTAGTGACAACCATTACATTGGCAATGTGGCCTCTTTCTGCACACATACAAATGAATCCCTGGCAAGGTTCTCTACCACAGCTCCAATGGTCTCATGGTTACTGTCATGGGCTTTCATGTGGGAGATCAGGGTTTGAAACCCAGCAACAGAAACTTTAACAGAAAATCTCTACAAACTTCACATTGTCACACAATTACCCTTATTACAAACACCTGCTGACTTGACAAACACAAACTGGTATGGAAAACACATTTGAACTTGGTCACATTTCATTCTGCAAGTCCACTGCTGCAGGCAAAGCCCATGCTGCAATGCACACTTGTTTTTACATCATAAAAACCCATGTCTAGTTGCTTTAGATTTTCTCTCGAATCCCCCCAGAATGCAGAGAGCGCACATCCAAACTCTCTGACTCTTTATGTCTAAAGTCAGAATTGTCTTTGAATACCGGAAGTGAGTTTTTAAAATCTGTCCAGTCTCCTGCAGAAAACACTGCAGACACAACAAATGATTCAAAAACGTTCTCAGTACAATTTGAAAAAAAAATGATAGAGTTTGAGGCTACTCTGTAGTGAGAATACAGGTGTGTAGTTATCACAGTAACATACTGTTAGGAGAAGCTTTGACATTTCCTTTCAACTTGGTTCTGCAGCACAATGGCTCAGTGGTTAGCACCGACGCCTCACGGCAAAAATGTCTTGGGTTCTATCCCTGGTTCGGACCTGGGGTCTTTCTGTGCGGAATCTGTATGTTTTCCTCGTGCTTGTGTGGGTTTTCTCCATGTACTCTGGTTTCCCCACACCCAAAAACATGTACAATAGGTTGGTCCAGACCTCCCTTGAAAAAGAGATCTGCGACCTCAATGGGGTTTGCCTGGGTAAAAAAATAATTTAAAAAAATTATCATTTATGCATCAAAATATGAGCATTCTGTGTCAAAATATGGTCCTCCAACACATTCCATGGTCTGTGAGAGCTCCACAGATGTAATGTCTTAAAATAACCGTGTGCTTATATAAAGCCAGCATTGACCATAAACTACATCTCCCATAATGCATGTCGATTATTTTACTCAGCCCACAACTATGTGGAGCTGCACAGGGTTCAGTAGTTGGCAGTCTACATTTTGCTGTGGTCCAGTGGGAATTTCTCACTTAGAAGTCATAAATTTAAACTGGAACGTGCTTCCAGGGAGAATTCCTTGTTGGAAATTGAGAGAGTTCAGAATTCAAGACTACTCACCATAACCCAACAATGAGTAAAACCCTCTTATATTTACTTATTTCTATATTATTTATTTCACATTAGGTCAGGTTAACTTGCAGTACTTTTCAGTGTTTATAAGAGGATGTGTTAAAACACTGTTTGCATGCAGAAAATACCACGTAGAGCTCAGTTCAGCTGTAGCAATGAGACCAGGAATGAGACGTTACTTGTTTAGTCAAAGTTAAACATGAAACATTAAAGTTGATAACAACTGGCCCTTTGAGAGCCACCATAATGCTTACGAGTTTTACACCCCTGGTTCAGAATATTAAACATGCAGCTCTGTTAATCTACTCTTGGGCTTTAGAGAAAAAAGTTGAAGGACGGTGCAATTTTAAGCAGCAGCTTCACCTACACTAACTTTAAAATTCCTTCTGAAGTTTATTTTTTACAAAATCTGAGCAAAATACTGTGGAGAATCAAAATTAATTCCTGAATGGAAAAAAAAAAAACTAAAATAATAAAAGCCCAGTTGTTTTGTTCTTAAACTTGGGTTGTGGGATCAGTGACACTGCGGGTAAAGATAATAAGATGGATGGGTGGCTGAAAATCTGCAAAATAAGACAAAAAATACACAGAGAAACGAATAAGAAAAGTTAAAGGTTTTAACTCTGACTGGTCTGCAGCTTGATTGACGTCTTTCCTCCAATTTGTTCTGTCTACAGTTTCAAGAGTTTCTCTAAATGTCCCTCTTTCTACAGCCTAAAATAGATTCTAGTTAAATGTACAGAGTACACAGTACTAAAACTGAATGGGTGTTTGTAGCTTGTACTGTAAAGCTCTTTGAGCATTCAGAACAAGAACCTCAAAGAGATCCATTTATTATTAATCACATGTTGTAAATCTGCAAAGTTTTTCAAATTAAATAATTTTAAAAAGACTTTCTCTCATTTTTGGTCAAATAACTAAAATTAGACTGACACATGAAGCAGGAAGCAGTGAGTTGAGTTTATTTAAAGCGATAATAGGATAATTATGGAAAAATATTCATGTAAAGTTTTGTTCTTTAGTCTGCTCCCTCCTGCAGGGTTTACAGTGAGTTAACTCACTGATGCCTGATGTCTTTCCTGATCAAACCGGGACTCAAACCTGCAGCCTCAGGATTATGAAGTAGTGGAAGTGACCGTGCAGCTACCGCAACCCCTGAATATGAATAATTTAAAGAAGTATGCATTTTTTTTCATGGTGAAAAGTATTTTTACTTGGTTTGAAGACGTCTGTTAAAGCAGTTTGGACTTTGTCAACAGCTCACGCAATGGAACAGTCTTGAAGGATCATTTCCCTACGTAGAGGTCCTGAAATCTTTCACACTTTATTTTTCTTGGGCAGGCCAGCCTACAGTTGTCAGGAAATTCTTTTGATGGGCAAAATCCAGCTGGTCAGGGGTTATTCCGCTTTCTTTCCTCCAAGTTCCCTGCTTCGTTTCAGGCATCATGGAAATACAACATTTGTATTTCCATCCTGGTTTGTGTTCTTTCTGTTGGATGTGGAGCCAAGTTGCTGATCTAACAAATCTTTAACCTTTAAAACGAGGCCTCTGGTGCAACTGTGCTAAAAGTCGGGGAGTGTTGTTACGGCTGGCCTGCAGAATTATGACTGCTCTACACTTTACCATGACTATTGTGGGTTTTGTAGTGTTTGACTGTTTCACTGAATTAAGAAATTTAGATTCTCAGAGAGGTTATTAGACCATTAAGTAACTGATCAAGGGTGCCAATGCACGAGAAATAAAGCACTCTTTCTGTTCTGTGTCTGGTTACACAGCTTTGAAATAAAACAGCTATTAACATAAATTTGTGCCTCGATGAGGAATAGTTTATGACTTTTTGTAGGGTTTTTTTTTAACAAAATGTGTAGGTATAAAAATAATGAAGATTAATGGGATTCTGGCAGTAAACAAAAGAAACGTAGCCAGTACAGATTTCACAGCAAAAATATTCTTAAACTTGTCACAGAAAGTTGGACTTTACGTGACTGAAATGGCATTTCAATGTCTTTCATCTTAGTTCAGAGGCTGCAGTAGCTCAGAGGTCCGTGAACTGATCCGACAACCCTGAAGCTGCAGGTTCAAGTTTCAGGAAGGTGTAAAATAATAGTTCACTCACTGTGTCAACTTCCGAGAAGGGAGCAGCCAACAACACAATCACACTTAGAGTTTTATGATTTTTAGGGAGGTATTTTGGTCTTCCTTCACCCGGTGTGTTTCTCATAAATATAAAACTTATACTGCAGAGAGCGAAGATCCAAAGACTTTAGTTATGCTTGAACTAATTTTTTTTTCTTGAAACTGGAAGCTATTTTTTTAACTTATTTCTTTTATGTACAAGTTGTATGTAGGAGATATGACAAGTTAAAAAAGATCCCAAATGTTTACAGGTTTGAACATCAGTGTGATCAAGATCCAATTTAGAGATATTTGTGTATCAAGTGTTAATTTGAGGCTTACTTTTAAATTTGCATTTTTGTTTTCCACTCACTACCTTAGCAGTCAGGGAGTGGTTATCATGGTGATCAGGGGCAGAGTTAGAGTTTTCTGGATCCATGGTGTCGCACAATAACCTGCCCACCGAGTTCACATCAGACTGTTTTGGATGCGACAAGCAGAAAAGTTGAGAATCTGTCATTTGTGGACAAAAAGAAGTCAAATTTTGAAGAGCATCTCACGGAGGAGATTAGAAAACATAGAAACTTTGGTAACGCTTTCTTTTACTGTACCCTTATTACCATGTAATTACAACGTAATAAAAATGGTGATTAAATGTAATTACTACCTTATTACCATGTAATTACAAGGTAATTAGGGTACAATTTTACTATGTAATTAATTGTCTGCAGTAATGTAGCACTTACCTGGTAATTTTTACAATTCACTATGTAACACCTAAATAAGTAGTAGGTAATTTGGACAGTTTTAAAGTTATATTTTATTGCAATTAACCACTAACTCCAAAATTTATTTGTAATTTTTTTGGTTATAAATATAGTGTTGAGTTACCATTGAATAGTAATTTGATTGTAGTTACCCAATAAAGGTAGTTTTACTGACAGTAGTTTTTCTTTTGTACTGTAATTACCATGTAATTACATGGTAATAGGGTAGTAATTACCATTATATTACATTTTTATTACCTTGTAATTACATGGTAATAAGGGTACCGTAAAAGAAAGCGTTACAGAAACTTTATGATACATCCATGAAGGAAAATAAGGACTTTCAGTGAGCAACAAATATGTAGGAGGAAATAATTCAGATCCTGGGTAAGGTAAGCTCTTTTCTTTTGTTGTTTTAAAGCTAAAATGCAAAATATCTCTTCCTCCTCATCCTTGATGCCATGACTGAAATTGTGAAAAATTAAGGAATTTGTCAGGCGATCACTGTGCTCAAGTCTCAAACATTTGTGGACAATATACACGTAGTCTGGACAGCTCACAGACCGTACGCCCAAGTATGTGGGGGACTTTAGGCTTTCTTGCAAGGGAGAGGTGGCCAAGGTGTTGTTTAGGGGGGCATATACAAAAAAAGCCTTCTTGGTGTGAAAATTCAAGATGGTCGCCACAGATTATTCCAAATGGTTTTAATTCAGCTGTTTTAAGAAATACCGAGCTGAAGTTTTGTGTGATCATAGCTAAGAATGATCATAAAACACGCTGATATTGCTGGTCAGAACAGTCATTCAGGCATGCAAAACTGAAGATTAGTTTAGAAGTATCGAAAAACAATCTTTACGAACGTCTAAATGCTAATCAAAATTCAAAATGACCACCACAGCTAACTTTACAATGCTATAATTTAGCATTTTTAAGACTTAGACATAAAATTTGTTGTGGAGTTGCTGAGAATAATCATAAGCCAGTTGCCAATGCTAATCCCAAATTAAGCTAACCACTAATGCTAAAGCTAATTTTACAAAGGGCTCAGTTATTTTCCAACGTGCACATCAGAAAACAACCTTTAACACAATCTAGATACAAACACAAAATCCAAGATGCCCACCCACATCCCAAATATTCGGGGGTGGCATCTTGGGTGGCCAATCAGGTGCCAGGGATGGCCACCCTTCTGACTCTGGCCCTGATTGTGATCATGCTTCAACATTTGTTTTTATCCGGGTTCTCTTGACAATTTGATTTGACTTCATGCATCAAAATGCAGCCATTGTTTTCACAGGTTAGATCATCACAGAGTTCTGTTGGAGTTTTGGACAGCTGTACTGGCACATTTCACACTTCCTTCTGAGATTTTCTTTTTACTCACCTTCCGTACTAAAGTTTCTCTCGGGAGATTTTTGCGCCTCCAGAGTACTGCTTGTCGATGACGGCCCAGAGCGCGAGCCCCTCTCCAAGGCGAAGCCCCGAGTGTTGCGAGTCTGGATCTCATTGGTGAAACGTGGCACACTGACTGGAATGTTCTCAGGTACCACCTGCACCAGTGGAGGTCCCAGGGGTGGCTGCTCATGCCTCCGGCTGTATACCTGCATACAACGCTCCTCCAGTGCTCCGATCAGCACTGACTGATTGTTCACGACTGCAGACAGGGCTGCGTATTTGGCCTCCAGTTCCCTGTAGCGAGAGGCCAAGCGCAGAGACTCCGTGGTGGCGTTCAGGATGCGCGTCTCAAGCTGAGCCAGCTCCAGAGAGTTATCCCTCTTCCTTATGATCTCGTGCAGCAGCTGCATGTAGAGCTGGGTCACTCTGGAGTTCATGTTTCTGCTCTCTTTCCTCAGCAGCTTCATCTCGTTCACCAAGTTACCGTCCACGTCCACCACCAGCTTCAAGGTTTCCATCTCCCGATTTTGCTTTGACAGAAGATCCCGGACCGAAGCCACGTCCAGGCGTGTCACCCGGTCCTTGTCAGTGGCGTAGCCCCGGGCAGCACAGATGGGACCCGTGATCTTTTGCTCAGGGACCAGAAAGGTATAGGAGCATTTCTTGCTTTCTTCTCTGGCCTCTGGAGCTCTTCGTATCCGAGACAGGATGGGGTTCTTGGTCAAAGCTTGGCTGTTGCTCCAGAGAGACAAAGAGAACAAAATAAAAAGGCTCCACATGTCCGGTCCCATGATTGTTCCCCTTCCAGTTAATCAAGGTAGCACTCTGTAAGAGAAAAGAGCAGATAAGGAGCAGTTTGGTCATGTTTTTTTTATTTTACTGCAACATAAACATATTAAATTATTTATAGTTCTTTGCAGCCATGGCCTGAACGTGATCCTCTTTCCTACAAATGGTGGTCAGCTTCCACTCAGATGATTTGGGGTTTGATTTCAGCTCCTGCAGTGTGATGAAACATTCTTTGGCAAAATTTCTTCACTCTCTGACCCCAATATGCCTTTTAGAGCAGCAGTGGAAATAAAAAGTTCTCTATATAAGGCAAATATACAGTACAGGGACTTTAGGAGTGTGTGTAAATGTGAGAAAGACACTTTGCACCTAAAGGAAGTAAAATCATTAGAACTGGCTACAAGACAAAAACATTAATATACTTAAAACATGTTTAGATGTTGACACCTTCCTAAAGAAGACAAGTTGTCATTTTGTTTTTCAGAATTGTTAGGAATCTCAAAAATTGTCACATGGTATTGAAGGAATTTATTGGCTTTTGGTTAATTATGACCCCCGCATGCGAAGCGTAAGCGGGAGTCATATTGTTTTCGTACTGTTTCTTTATCTTTTTTTTTCAGTGATTTTTGGTCAACCATAGTACAAAAACGGCTGCACCGATCAACATGAAATTTGGCAGGAGTGTAGATGAGTCTGACCTACACTGCGCCAGCCAACGGTTTTATGATACACCCCATATTTGAGGAGGGGGCTCCTTTCAAAGTGGGGGTGTCAGGACATGCAAAAATGCTTATAACTCAGAAACTGTTCAACATAGAAGCTTCAGATTTCTTTTGTTGTTCAGCTCTGACAAAGCTCTATCCATCAGGCCCACCAATCAGTGCCCCCGCCTGGACCCCCAATTTATCTGAAAAAGGGGTATGGTTATAGCTCAAAAATAGGAGCTTCAGATTTCTTTGGTTGTTTAGCTCTGATGAAGCTCTATCCATCAGTCCCACCAATCAGTGCCCCCCACCCCCCATACCCCCTATTTATCTGAAAAAGGGGTATGGTTAT